GATTAATCCATTGTTAGGAACGTATGGAAGATGGTAATAATAATGTTTATATAAATATTCATAAATAATTATTAGAACTTACTTTGTTATATAAGTATATTGTATTTGATATTTTATATATTATTTTATGTTATAAATATTGAAATCTCGCGAGTATTGTAATTATCAAGATGATATATTGAAATTTTAATAAGATTTTTATTAATCCCGATATGATTTATTTCACGAGAATCAACAAGTTTGTTAATAAACCAAATGAATTTTAAAAATTAAAAATCCGCCCGTAATCACTTAATTTAATATAAAATTGTAAAAATAATATAAAATAAAAGTGTGTAAATGAGAGAAACTTCAACTTGTTGATTCATTAATATTATTAAGTATTAAAAATATACAAATTCAGAATATATTCAACAACATTTCGAGATAAGAAAATAGATAATAAAGCCTAGAGATAACGATATCGAGAAACATAAAAATATTCTCAAATAACAAGAATCGTAAATCTAGAATTGCGAAGGTGGGCTGTTCTTTAAATAAAATAATCACAAACTTATTACCAACAACGTGATAAAACTTCAATAACCTTCAATAAACTTCTAAAAGAATCTAATTTCACGACGATATTTTTAACGAGATAAATAACTGTAGCGTAATAATATACCGAGAAAATAAATAATATATGAAAAATCAAAAATACACCATATACACCATATCCACTGAAATTAAACTTAAAACCGTTCAAAGAGAGGGGAAAGAAAAAAAATAAAAAAATAAAAAAATAAATAAAAATAACAAAATAATTTTAAGTTTATCAAACAGTGGCCCATCAAAGAAACCAGTCCTCAATTACAATTCCACGAAAACCGATCAATTTCCTCGAGCTATCCTTATTACTAAAATAACTCAATAACTCGGGGCGGAGGACTATAATCAGTTCACGATAATTACTCGTCGTGAACAGTCCCTCGGAATTAATTGGTCGTAGGAGATCGAATACGAAAATTTCACGTAATTTCCCGTCAAAATGGGAATAAAACATGGCGAGGGAACGATAAAATAAAATCGGCGGTGAAAAACAATAAAACCACCAACCGATTATCGACGTCCGAACTTCGATTACTCCCCCGTCTAATTAAATGGGAGACCGTGCCCGAGATAGTTTCCAGTTTCTTGTCAGTTACTTTCTCGTCTATTATACCTTTTTATCAATTACGAATTAAAGAGATATATCTTTAATATTCGCGAGAGAAAACAATGGGGGGGGGGACAGTTTGAGAAATTGTATCTCAAGACGCCTATATATACCTATTCTTTTCTCTCTTAACATTTCTTTTTTTATAATTAATTCGAATACAAAAAAAGAATCAAAAGAATCAACTTTTGGATAAATATTATTATTGTTAAAAGATGGGTCGCAACCAACATCCCCATGATCAATTTACAATGAATGGCCACGTTTACGGGGCCATCTTCGATCGAATCGTTCCCTAATCGTTCAAAATTGATTGCAATGACCAATAAATTAGCTGGAAACGAGATGCTCGTTCGGGATGTTCAGAGGTTGGGAAAGAAGAGGATGAAAAGAAAGCGAGACACCTCGCGGTGCTGATCTCTCACGGCTGTCAGACGTGACACGTTTATCTTAAACAGCGTTACGTTCAACACTCGAGGAACTCATTAGTTAGGTTGCGCACATGCAGTTCGCGTTTTACGTTCACGCTTGCCTACGTACGTTGGCCCATTAGCAAAATTAGAAAGAGAATATTATTTTAAACGCGCCGCGTGCTGTGAAAACGCTCGAAAGAATTGCGAGTTTCGCTTTGAACCGCTCCTTGGTCCTTCCTCTTTACCATTCTTTCCTTCTTTCTTTTTTTTCCTTTCGATCTTTCACTTTCTCGATATTTTTCCAAACATCTGCATCTGCATCTTGTGAAAATTTCCCTTTCTTTTCTTTAATTTGTTAACAATTCTCGCGAATGAATATTTGGAAAAATATTCGCGAGTTTAACGAATGCTGTTCACTCTTTCAACTTTTAAAAACTTTTTCTTAATCTAACACAGTTTCTCCGCAAATCTGTTTCAAGAATGGAAAATTTGATTGATAGAATTATTATGGAAATCGAATCAATTAGCGGTTCTAATTGAATACCTGTTTACGAAACTATATTAGATTTTTAAAATAATTGAAGATATCAATCAAACCATCATTTCAAAGAGAAAAATAATAAAAATATTATTCGCCATCCAAATTAATAAGCGTGTAAAACTCGATAACGAAACATTATATTTCACGGGAAAAAGGAAAAGGAAAAAAACAAGAAAAAAAGAAGGAGGAGGAAAAAATAAAATTACCGAGAACTCATGCGAATAACCCGGAATATCGCGTGAACTCTAACAACAAAATTATCATCGAAAAAAAATCGAATAATTTGTTTTCGAAGTTGACGAAGTCGTAAATCTTCGATGATTCGATCATAATATGGAACGACGAGTCATCCGCTATCGATAAATAAAAACAGAAATCATTGCCAAGAATATGGTCAAGATCGCCACGGTTTTTTACGCAAGTTTCCAACGAAACGGAACCGAGAGAGGGGAAAAAAAAGTTTCGAGGGAGAAAGATGGAAAAGAGAGTGGAAAGAGAGAGAGAAAGAGAGAGAGAGAGAGAGAGAGAGAGAGAGAGTTAAGTGGCGCTCCCTTCGAGGTATAAACAAGCGTTAGGGACATGAATGGGATCACGTAAAAAACAGATTTCCACCCTCGATCTCGTACACGAAACGTGATTTCAGGCCGTCAAGTTGGAAGGAAGGGTGGAAAAAGGGCGTTGCGGATTGGGGCTAACCCTGTAAGCGATCCCAGGGGCTCGTCAGGAACGATCTTATGATTGACCGTGTTACGACACTCCCTATAGACCATTTTCCGAACGTATCCTGGAAATAGTGGAGTTCGAACCGGAGGCCGATACACGGAGAAAGAAGCGCGCGTGTGACTCGAGATTCGATTCGAATGGGCTATTTGGGGGTGTTTGGGGTGGCTGGGATTGAACCGTGATCGAGAATATTCGATTGTACAATCCTTTCCTTCATATTGTACACAGGATGGTAATTTTGATTATTTATTAATTAAGTGAAAGCTAAATTTATTTATTATTAATTTCTTTTTTTTTTAGAATTGGTAAGAATTGTTTCTTTTTTTTTTTTTTTTAATTTAGAATGTACACAAGATGCAAAAAGATTTCAAAGAAGACATTTTTATTATTTAATTTCACCTTTTCTAATTGTATTTATAAAAAATTTTCAAGGTATGGATGAATGCCTGCAGTTTATTCGAAAATTGATAATAGAAATTTTTTTTCCATAAGCCAGTGAATGATTTTGGTTTCTGAAAGGCTCAAAGAGGAAGTTAATCATGAGATTTCACATTTTTATGGATAACGTTGTCATAATTTTTGTAATGTTCGTATTAATTAATGTCGCAATTATTAATTTTTTTAATAATTCCCGTTTAACACGTTTGGTCGGTAAAACCTATTTCTTTCTAGGAATTACTATACTTAAAAATTTTACACTAACTTGTCGATTTAAAGAAACTTGCGAAATTCATATATCCCATAGCCGAAAAATAATGCATCATCGAAATAGTCGAAGGTGTTTTTTAAATTATCGGAAATATTATAATATAGCAATGCCTGCTAAGCTTGGAAACATGAAACTGGTTCCATATCACGTTATTAAAATATTAACGCGAGACATTCCGGAGCATTTACTTATTATAAATAATCCAGCTTATGGTAATCATTTCGCTACGCCTGACTCACTAGACGCTTAACAATAATGTTTATGCCGATGTGCAAAATGTTAACCGAGTTACACTTCGTGAAATATAACAATCATACGATTCCATCCCGTAATAGATGAAATTATTTCGCGAACCCCTGTTAAAATTTTAAACCACGCATTGTATGCATTAATAACGCGAGAGGGGGAAAAAAATACGAGACAAACAAGTTGCTTCGATATAACGCGGAGTGGAAAATTTTAATAAAACAAAAATTTTAACCAAATTGAAGATAATTTTCTCCTAATAAGGAACAAATTACCAATTTACTACAAAAAAAAAAAGAAAAAAAAGATTAAAATTTAAGGTAATTTTTTTCACAAAAACGAATATGATTCGTTGAGATTTGTCAGAGATTATTAGACAATTAATTGATAATTTTTTCCTTCGAAAAACTCGTTCGACATTTTATCAAATATGCGAGGAAGCCAGTTTCTAATCGTTTTAATATAGCCAAGATTAGAAGCACGGAGTAACAGTTTAATTTTCCTAGTTAAATCGAGCAATAAACTATCGAGCAATCTGCAAGTTCCCTATCTTATTTGCCTCAAAATTGCAGCTTATCGCAGCATAAGTATGCAAACTATCGTTAGTAAGGAAACCTGGCAATGAATTCGAAATTGAGTTTCAATTTAGTCCAAAAGTGGATCGGATACCTCTCTCTCTTCTTAACTCTCATTATTCCACTTTTTCTCCTCCTATAAAACGGCTTTAAAAACGACCGATACAACAAATCGACATATATCTTGTGCACAAATATTATAAATAAAACCGTTAGAAAAACAATCAAAATGAAACAAAGAAAATTAAAACAATCTCGCGAACAAATGATCTATAAATACACCAAAACTATCTACAGAAACAGAAACACGATAGAACAGATAGAACAGATAGTAAGATCGATTTCATCCATCCCCAATAATTACGATCTCAAACGAACGAGAGATTATTAACTCAGAGATTAATCTCAGAAAATTCTAACAAGGAAAAACACCGACGAATCGAATCCGATAAACAAACGTGATCTCGCAAGCAGCTGCCGCGTTCATTATTCCAAACAACTTGGCTACAACGTTCGTAAGCTCTGTGTAACAAAAAAAAAAAAAAGAAGAAGAAGAATAAGAAGGGGAGGAGGAAGAGGAAAAATGAAAGCCACTTACCTTTCTTCTCGTCATCCTCGTCGGCGTGATCGGCACCGTGATGAAGATGATGGGCGGTCGGATGGTGGCTAGTTATCGCCGGCACCAGGGGGTGGTTCCCCAGTGCCGGATGCGGATGATGAGGATGATGATGACTGAGGAACCTGACAGCGGCAGCCGCCGCCTGATGCTGGGCCTGCATCGTCTGCTGTACCTGGCTTTGTACCTGGCCGAGGACCGGATGATGGGGTGGCCATCCTGCCAGGTGGAACGGAAATACGGGTGTCGCCCTCTGGAACAGCCTGGCCGGTGTCAGCAGGGAACCACCGGAACCGGCGGAACCGCTACCAGGAGGCAGTGGGAAGGACAGACCACCTCCTGGCTCCAGGACCATGTTTGGTACCAACGTGGCGACTGTTTCTCTCTCCACTGGAGAGATCTCACTTATTTTGCATCTATATCCTTTCGAGCTCGATGACGCACTACGAATGAGGTGGCCGCGGTTCCTTCAGCTTCATGTGAACCGGCGAGTGTTGCGAAGTTTTTCTTGGAACTCTCGAGGGCCCGGGATATTATTGTTGCACACGTGCGATGTCGATAAGTTTTTGTCGAATATGGACTGTTTGTAGACACTTTGTTTGTTTACATCTTATATACGAGAGAGATTTGATGTTGGAATAAATGGAGTTTAAAGATTTTTAGAGATACGCGGATAAAATGGTGTTCATATTTGTTGGGGATCAATGGTTCGCGGAGATGTGAAGACGGATTGCGTTAACGTGATTGTGGCAAGTCGATAGCCGTCGGAAAGCGTGCTTAGAGAATTCTGTCTATCTATGGTAACCAGTCTTTTTCGCTTTTTTAAATGATTCTTCGGCAGAGAGGATTTCAATAAATTTTCTGCTCTCTTTCGCTATCTTTAATCTCAATCTCTTCAGTCTTTTACTCGTTTTCTTTCTATACCAAAGTCCTCGATAAATTTCACAACAACGATTTTAAATTCCATAAAACGATCAGTTAAAACTACCAGTTTGTTCGAGAGATATTTCGTCAATATTCGTGTATCAATCTCAACAATCCATCGGCCCTTTCCTCCGTCACAATTTCCCGACAATTATCACTCGGTCACTGAAAACAATTTCATCGAAAAATCAGGTTATAACCCCATCAGTCTAAGATCCTGTCCAATCCTCGTCCCGAATGTTCATCTTCCCTCAACGCACCGAACTTGTAAAAGTCACCAAGTGAAACAGGATCATCTCGGCAAAACACAGGTGAAACAAAATCACTGGAGTCAGAGAGATGACACTTGTTAAAGACAACGCCTGGACAATGCGATCGCACCTGAGGTTACGCAATTGGCCGGCCACGAAAACACTGATCAGCTGACGAGATTACAGTCACCAAAAAAGGGGTGTTTCGGCGGGTGCGTGGTTCGAATTCGGCCAATTCGCGCGACGAGCGGATTCCAGGGATTCCTCGGCCTGGCAAGGACCTGTTAGTGTGTTTAGGACCACTACGGCACGAGCCAACGGCACAGCACTATCTGGCTGCCGAGCGAAGTCAACGGCTCCCCTCTGTCTATGGATTTGAAACTGGTTTGGATCGCCACCCAGAGGCACCCGATTGGCCGGCCGGATAGCGGGTTCACGGGTGCCACTCCGTTCCCGGCCAATGGGGACGGATGGATTACGAGGCGAACTCCGCCTCGTGCACGGTTTTTTTGCCCTGGAATTGAATCGACGCCCCTTCCTCCCGGTAATAGGCACCCTGGTGGGGATGAATCAATTGGTGGCTGCCCTGAAACCAGCCGCAAGATGGCTCCTCCCTTCCCCACTGCGTTCGGGGAAACCACCCCTGGCTCGAGGAGCCTGGCCAACAGCTTCGACCTTAGCCTCCAATTCCGCCAGATACACTCTTCCTCCAAGCTAGAAATTTTCTTCTCCGGGAAAAATCGTCCTCCATATTTCCTCCTCTTATTTTCCCTCCTTCGTTTATTTCTTCTTTTTTTTTTTTCATTCTATTAGTTTCTATTTGTTTATTTTTTTTTTTAAATAGACAATTACAAGTATACATCCCGCGCTCAAGAAGAATTTTATTAGAGAATGGGATAAATTTTTTAGATCGGAACGAGTTAGGAGGGAGATGCTTTCGAAGATGGAAAGTATAACAGAAAGAAACTCGACCAACGTTGTCCATCTTCGATGGAACGAGGCCGACAACGTTTCCCTTTCTTCGCGATCGTTTCTCCCGACGATTGTTGTGCCTCCACCATTCCTCCCCCCCACCACCCCACCAGAGGCGTATCTTCCACCCCTCCAGCCCTCGAGGGCAC